AATGCAGAAACAGTCCTATATATTTTCAAACACTGGCATGTTTTTAAAAGTTTCATTCTCATAAAAGTAACTCTAACTAAATTTGAGTTCTGGTTCTGACTTGTCTCTGTCACCTAGATGATGAATTTAGATATGTTTTATGTTAGCTTCTTTATTAGTAGAGCATATCAAAAGGATTTTGTTTATGGGATAAAAATTCGAGTTAGTATTCACCCATACTTACCTTAAAGAGTGAAATGTCTGAAACACAAAAGAAAATCAGTCTGCAGGCCATGTTTTTTAACGGTAAAATTAGTAACTGGTTTTCACCAGATAAAGATTTTTAATGGTTAGTTTCTAAGAAGTTGTTTCATTTATTCCACACAATTATATCAAACTAGTCTGCTTACCTGAATTAGCCATCAGAATGTATTATTAATGCCTTACTGACAACCTCTAATAATATTTATTCCCACAGAGAATTATATACTTTGTATGCCCCCTTCAAAGAAAGAACATACTGGTAGAATAGGAGTATACACAGAGGAGAATAGAGGAAAACATGGCAAACATTTGTACCAATCTAGAAAAGTCAAAAGATTTCTTGTGACCAAGTAAATTTTGATCTTGAGATTTTAGGCAAATGGGACAAAAGTCAAACCTGGTATTTGTCTCTCAGAGAAGCAGTAAGTACTGGTGGAAAAACAAGATGTTCTTAACTGGAAATGCATTCTTCCTTCTTTTCTACACTCTCATTTTTATATTGCCAGTCTGCAATCATAAGCTTTATGTCTGTCCTCATTGCTGCCCTGATGGTTCCCCAGCAATTCTACTAACATGGAGTCTTATTCTCCTGTACTTGCAGCTTGCCCCTGCAGGTATTAAATTCAGCCTTTTGGTTTTGTTCACAGTTACATTCCCCTCCCTCTAATACTGGAAGCATTGTACATTCTTCACTGTGTATCTCTCAGAGACTCTTACAGTTCACTAGACACACCTTATATGCACTATCAATTATACTGAGAAATCTTCCACCACTGAATGTGTAGATTTTTAAATATGAGAGTGATGCTCATGAGGTAGGCACCAGGTAGGCAGTTAGTAGGAATTGTTTTGTCAATATATCCATCAACTGCTTAAAAATCTGTGCTCCAGGTTTTACCAGCCTCATGTTGTCTAATTTTTTTGATTCATCGTTTTTCTTAGTTTCTCAAGGCGAATCATGCTGTAGTCTTTTAGTTTTTACATGCTTCATTTCAAGTCATGCTTTCAAGAAACCTGTAGACATTCCTTTTGGTGGCAATTATTGAGTGTGATCAAGTGTCTGAAGTCTGGCCTCTGAAAGAAAGGTGTTGACAATAAGCCATATTTTCATAATTGTAGGATTTATATTCTTAGTTATAGAAAGAATGACATAGTTTATCTGAAAATGATTAAGTTTAAAAAGTTATAGCCAAAAAGAAGTGACCCCAAACTACACCTCTGTTTTGTAAGAAACACAGTATTATCCATTCAGATATGCTTCTAATTCTTAGTGGTAGTACCATAATGCTGTATCAAGTTCATTTTTTTAAATCCCATAACTGAAGTTCAGAGGCAAAAAGAAAAGAAACCCCAACCCCATGCTATTCTTCCATAGAGTGATGGTGTATACAACAAGTGCTGATTTTGAAAAGCTAAATGGAAAATGCAATGTTGGGTCAGAAAACTTGGCTTAAAGTTTGTTAAAGAGGAAACTGACAGAAGTTTAAAGGATATATGTAATAATTCAGATATGAAGTGCCTTCTGTCTCCTGAGAGCCCATGTAGGAGGATTATTTCTCATTTGGTGGTGCTATTTTGGGAGATGAATGTGACTTTGATAGTAGGGACCTAGATGGAGGTACAGGGTAATGGACAACATGTCTGCTGGTGCCCTGGACCTCCCCTTTTTCTCCCACATGCTACTGATGCCATGAAGCTCAGCTTCCCCACAGAACCACAGCCCATGGAATCAAAAACTATGGACTAAATCCTGATACTGTGAACAAAAAATCCTCCCTCCCTTAATATTGTTCTCTCAGGTATTTTGGTTAAGCTATTGAAAGATAGATAACACTGTCTAATATGTGGGAGTTAATACTTCTTAAATCAAATTAAAAAATAGAAAGAATGTAAGAGAATTTTCCCCCTTATATAGCCTGTGTGGAGATTTTTAAAAGCACAGATACCTTAGTCCTTTTTCTCCTTTTTATCTATGGTGGCCCACTGTTAATGGCATTTTGTGGCAACTGTTGTTTTACTTCGCATGAGCTTTATTTGCAGTCACCCCTTGCAACTCATCCAACCTGGAATCCCAGGCCCCCCACTCACCTTTCATCTTGTTGGCTACACGTCCTCCTCCTTGTCTTTCACATCTTCAGCTCCGATGCCAGGAACATCCTTGCTGTCCACAGTCAGAATCATTCTACACATGGTGGATGACATTTCTGTACTGTGGCGGTGGAGCCAGAGTGAGCAGATGTAATGAAGGGCTTGATTTCTGGAGTACTATTTGTTTTAAATTTATAGCTCAGTTCTGCCAGTCACATCATGGCCCACAGTTAGAGTGAGTGTCGTACTGTACAGACATGCTGATGATTATGCTGCATGCTCAGATAGTGTGTTAAAGTAAAATACTGCTGTCAGTTCCTAGAGACATTTCTGTGGTTTTTTCAGGTTTAGTGAGAAATGGATACAGCTCTAATTTAATGCAAAGCTCCTGTTAACAGCAATGGCATCAAGACATTAAGAATCCTTGTGAATAACAAACTGAGAAAGATTTGAAGATGGAAATTTCAAAAGAAGCTAAGAAAATCATTTTACCTTCTCCATACTTTTTATTTAAACCATGTATTATATGGTGTAGAGTAGTCAGAGTCCTTATGCATTAAGGGTGATTTATAAAGTGTACTCTCAGGTCCTGTATCATTTGTGTCAGTGTTAACACAAATAGAGGATATTTCTGTTGGCTCATGTCTATAATCCCAGCTCTTGGAAAGCTAGGACAGAAGGATTGTCATGGATTTGAGGCCAGCCTGGAATACATGTTGAGTTCCTGATTACAGAGAGTGAGACACTATCTCAATAAATAAAAGACAAACAAAATATCATCATATACAATGATTCATGGGAAATTCTGTGCAACCCAGATGACCTATTTGCTACCTGAGTTTTTATGACACTAGATTATTGATATTTTCCATTTGTTATTTGTACTTGGTCACTTTATAAACTATTCATCCACAAAACTTTGGTTTTAGGTTGCCTCTATTTCTATTGTCAGCCAAAGGTAATATGGATAATTACTTACATTTGAGTTGTAATTTTAAAATAGAGCTTGGATGATTAGAAATGAAAATACATAATGATATTTGATATATATTTTTAGGAGGATATTTCATTTTCTTTCCTTCCTTTAATGTGTGCATGTGTGTCTGTGTGCATGTATGTATATGCATGTGTGTGTGCATGCATACATGGAGGTATATGCATGTATGTACCTCTGGTGTGTGTGAGTCTTGTGGGGTCAGAGAACAACTTAGGCAGGCAGTTCCTTCCTTTCATTACTTGGGTTCTAGGGATCAAATTTAGACATTAGGCTTGGAGGAAGGTGGCTTTACCTGTTGAGCCATCTTGCTGGCCCAGGTTTTTTAAAACATCAAGAGGGTAGTGATATTTGGGTCCATTAAGATACTGATTTGAGATTTTCAAGGATATCTTTACAGAACATAATTTTTCAATTTGGAATTATGAAATATTATTTTTTGGTCTCCCTAAATAAACACATAAAGCCTAGTTTTATTGAATAGAATTACATCTCTTATTTTACAATATGTTCTGGGTATTTGGAGCATGTCCTTGGAATCTGACAATCTGGATTTGAATATGTCCCTCCTAACTGAACCCATGCATTCTGAACTATTGTTCCTAGTTTCTTCTATAAGCTCACTTTTGTAACATGGCTATGTTATACACATTGACAATCCACGATACCAAGCTCCTGAGGAGTAAAATTTTTCAGAGAGGAGGAAATTTCCTCCAGTTTCTTTCGTCATATGAATAAAAGGTGTCTATGTCTTCACAAACAAGACTCCTTTTCAGAACTGTCCCAATCTGTGAGAGCAACCAATTCAAGTGTGCAGGGTTCTAACACAGCCACTGTTTTCTACTGTGGCTCTGAATCTCAGCTGGGACTTGACCACCACTCAGGGAACTTGGACTGGGATCTCCAGAAGTGAGTTCTTGCCCCTGTTTACCTCCATCTTTTACACCATTGTAGTTCCACCCAGAAAGGTGACAATGAATGAAGTAGCTCACAGGCTCAGATTTGTCTGTTGAGATTTATGGGAGCCAAATCTTTAAACAACATTTTGTGGTAAGTGACCTGAGCAAATTCTGTGCCATTACCCTCTGCTTTATATTAATCTAGTCAAGACACATGTTCAGCTAGTCTTGGAAAACTAGGCTTGCACTGCTATAATGAAACATAGGCCTAATACTTTGAGATTAGAATATAATGACATGGAAAAGTAAAACCACTTGAGCAATGTTTTTCTAGACTCAGTGCCTTGGCATGTGATACTCAAGCAATGTATTAAGAATGCATTTGTTGGGCATTATCTCAGAGATCATGACTCAGTAAATCTAGCCATTTGGAGCCATCATGATCTCTTGATAACTTTGAGGATTACGATGGTTGGCAATAGTTCAAAATGAGCAAATGCAAAAGTCTCAACATTATGTATTCTGGTTTCATATGACTTTTCACATTAATCCAGATTAAAATCAGTAAGCAGAACTGACTGCAAGAGATTCCTGTGTAGACCAACTTAGAAGCTGGACTCAACTCTTCATTATATATGATCAGAGCCCAAGATGGCACCATGTAACATTCTCTGTGACAGGACACAGGGGTTGAATGATGCATCCAAAGATGCATGGAGATCAATTTCCTACAGATAAATTAGTGGGTAGTGTTTCAGAGTAGAAAACAAAAAGGCTTTACTGCAAGGATCCTTTATTACAGGGTCTCCTGTGCATTTAAAATATAATTTGATTTATACACATACAAAAATTTCATTCAGCTTTGTAGGAAGACAGATGAAACCAAATCTTTAAAGGTTTAGGAGAGAAGAGAAAGGAATTCTAGAGTTCAATAAGTCTTGGAGAGCTGGTGCACTCATCATCCCTATAAAATGGCAACCAACTATAGACCTTTTAAAATGTGAACTTAACTCTGATTTAAAAAAATTAGATGTAGCTGCTTTTTAACCTCACAATAAAAATCTAATGCAAGTCACAGAACACCATTAGAAACAACCTAACAGCCTTCTGGTGTTTCTTTGCTGTCAAATTTTCCAAACGTTTTCTCTCATTGCATTTTCAAGTCAAAACACAGTTCCTGGTTGCTAGTCTACTTCACCCTCATGATGATGTCACAGTCTTTAAAGCATCAATTCTGGATTATTTGTGGTTGGCATCTCAGATTAGGCATCGTGTGGTGAGTTCATATAGTAATAGGTGCTGTTGGAACCTTTTACAGTTACAGCAGTTTATCTGAATTCTCACTGCAAAGCCAACCTATCAGGAACTTAAGCCTGTCTGACTGCTTAAACTCCCACTCAATATGAGCAATTCTTCAGGGCTTTAAGATGACCTGTGGAAACATCTCAGTAGGTATAGAGTTAGCTGTACAAGTCTGAGCACCTGAGTGTCATCCCCATGTAAGAGGGCTGAGTGTTGTGGTGGGGATGTAGAGCTAAGAAGACCCATGGGGTTTTAATAGCTAACCAGTCTAGTATCCTTGGTTTCTCCTGGGTTCCAGTGGCTGACTGTGTTCCTAAAACCAAAATGGACAATGGTTGAACAACAACATCCAAGGCTGATCTCTGGCTTCTACATGAGTGTGTGCACATGGATGCACCCCCACAAAAGAACATACCTAACATTGTTGCTAGATTTACTCTGAGAATTGCTTGATACCTGCCAGGCTCACTGCATCTCCATGATCATGTGTTACTGAATTTCTTTCTTCCTACTAACAGTTCCTACCAGCTCTCTGTTTTCATACTTTCAGCTTCTTATTTCCAGCATTTAGTTTGAAACGGCATCTTTCTTCCAGTCAGGAATAGTTAAAATCAAGTGTATTTTTACTCTCCTAAACAGTTTATTTTAGAAAATATCTTTGCAAATAAATTTTGCAATTCCTAAGCAATTTCTGAAAGCAGACAGATCTAAGTTGAAACGGGGTTATGTTTGTCTTGAGTGTTAATTTTGGCTCATATTGCCTTCCAAAATGTAATTTATATTATAAGTCTTGCTGGTTTTATGAGATTTCTAGAACGTTCAGGAGGAGACAGCGATGGAGACACGATAAGCCCCAAAATATTCTCAGACTGTCATAGTTTTTAGTATCTGCATCTATTTGAATAACTGGTGTTTTATCTTTCTTTATCATGAGAGTTCTTTTAAAAGCTTTAATAACTTAAAAAAATTTTACCAAAACACAGAAAAAGAAATTGTCTTCCTAGTTAACTCAGAGTCAACTCAGTTGAATGTACAATCAGGCTGTATTATGAACTTTTTACAACCACTAAATGATCTCAGTGTAGACTGGTTTCTCTTTCAGCACCTCTTGTCTTTCCTCTGCATTCTGGGGTCTGTTTATCTCTCCTCTCGGCAGCACACTCACAAATGACCTTGTGTATTGAGAAATGTGTGACATGCAGTAATTCTAAACAAAGGATCGTCACGAGCAAGCCTAGAGCCTTCTTGCAGAGAGTTCCCTGGATCATAAAGTGTACAGGCTTCTGAGATGAATTAGAACTCACTAAGTGACATGTCTACTAGTTTCTTCTGTCTGTTTTTTCTGGTGGTTCTTTGGCTCTGGCCAGAGAAAGGGAACTTAGCATAATGGAAACAAAACAAAACAAAATAAAACAACAACAAAAACAAAACAAAACAACCTCTGGGCTTTGAGAGTGGCTCACCCTAGTGGGCATTAGCTCTGTGTCCTTGGATGAGTCTCAACTTAAGGGGCAGGAGTATATCTTCACAGGATTGTTTAGGAAGGATTTGTAAACCTTAAAACACTGCCTGGCTTTATCATGTGTTTCTGCTGTTGTAGCTGTGGTGAGTCAGACTCGAATTTTCAACCCCAACAACCATGCAGACAACTTTTTCTGTTGTTTAGTTAGGTGAGCAGTAGCCAAGGAGGTGAGCACAGGCTCCAGGCAGATGGTTAGAGGGAGAATAATACTGCTGAAAAAGAAAAGTTATAGATAAAAGTTTTTGATTGAAGTTTCATATGTGTGATAAAGATTCTATCCTTCTACCACCTAGTCTAGCAGATTTTAACACCAGCTACCTCCCACCCCTGACAAGGCAGAACAAAAAAATGATATAACCTAACATAATTTTTTCTTGTTTTATGACCTTTAGGGCTTAATGCCAAAAGTGAAAGATCTCAAAATTCTTAGGTTGTTGGCTTCTTACTATACCTGAGCACACAGGGTGCTCCCAGGCACAGTTCCAAGGTGATTGTTCTCATTGATAGTTTACTGTAGATGAAATGAAAAGTTTTAGCAACATCCAATGGGGAGGAAAGTCAGAGTTATTTTTAGGAGTGTTGTTCCTGGTCAGTTGACTGTGCTCCAGTTGATGGCCCCACACACGTGCATGTGAGCAATGTACGTTGGACTCAGTAGGTTGTGTGTGTGTGTGTGTGTGTGTGTGTGTGTAAAGTTGGAAGAACTTTGGGGATGCAGGTGGGGGTGGATCTAGAAGAGTTGTGGATATGTTGAGGGCTGAATATGATCAAAATACATTGTAAGCACTTATGAGATTCTCAAAGAATTTGCAAAATTGATACATTAAAAATGTTTAAAGAAAGTGCTTTGCATCAGGAAATCAAGGGTGTACATTTGTAAGGCTCCTCTGGAGTCTTAAGTTTTTTTTTTTGTTTTTTGAAATTTTTACTCAATTTAAGTTTGTGGGAAAATTTGAAAGTGTTTAGTTTTACAAATGAGTGCTTCTTTGGGTATTTGGGAGAATGACTTCTAATGAAAAAGTTGCAAATAACATTTTGGTTTATATAATAAAATTCCATTTGATTTCAGACTCACAAAGAAGAGATTTTTATCCCACTTTAAATTTTGTTCAGAGCTAAATCTCAGTGTAAGGGATCAAGAACAATCAGAATAATACATTGCAAAGAAACCAGAAACTGGAAAACAAGATCAAAATTAGACTTAAATAACAAAAATCTCAAATAGCAAATAATTTATGCAAAATATGTTACAAAATCCGGGATGCTAAATATTTGATACAAGTACCGTGACATTTGTAGTTACATTAAAGTTAATGGTTTGCCTTTTCCATTATTTTGCTTCCCTTTTCATTTAAACAACTATTTGCTTTACAATTTTGAAACTCTTCCTTCCTGGTAGTGTTCTTAAATTTGCTGTGATCCACCTGTTTGAAGCTGTATGCATACAGGAAGTGTTTCGTAGGAGGAGATAGAAAATTAAGGTTGGCATCACTTTTCACTGTTTTTTTTCTTTACCATTTTTGATTGTGTTTGACTTCTGTTAGACTGATGTTTTCTGCCTCTGCTTTTGATGTCATTAATATTAAGTTAAATCATGGAAAAATGCTTCTGTTCACATAGCAAGGATTGACACGTGCAGTTTTCTATTGAAACATTGGAAAGAAAAAAAAGGATGTGTGATTACCATGGACAAACTAATGATGCTTTCAATAGTAACCTGTCAGGTAGACATGATACACAAATTACCATTTCAGCTGTGGGAAAACCAGGTTTTCTTAATTTGATTTGCATTCATGTTAAGACACAATCATGTAACCAATATGTGACTGGGATTGATGTCTAGTAGCTCTTGGTTATTGTTTTGGATAATTTGTAGCTAAATCTGCAAATGAACAACAACATGAAGAAGGGAACTGTATACTGTTGTCTCCAACAACAGTGAGTTTTCTCCACCGAGCACATCTATATTGAAAGAACTAGATTTTTAATGTTCTTTCCCAGTTGTGGTACACAATAAGAAAAATTCTGTATTTTTCCTTTGAGATATTCCCCCAATATAGCTTCACCTTCTAAATGAAAACTTGCCTTAAGAACCAGGCACAATTTGAACTGACTTGTGGTTATTTTTAGATAAAACCACTTTGGGTTAATTAAGGGAAAAATTGCTACTGTACAATTATGCCATATCCTCCCACCTTGGCCTGACAATAAGGAGATGTAACAGAAGTTTTTCTTTGTCATTGTAGCTGCACATTTGAAGTGTATCAAGTCTGTTGCTGTGGTTACGACCTTTGTTTCCAGCGATGTTTGGTCCATGCTTTCCCCTATGCTTAACAATGGTTACTCAAAAGAATGAAATAATGAGTCATTCATTCGGAAATACTTTGTTAAAATATCCCTCTTTATCATTACATTTCACTGCTTAGAAACTAGGCTGTAATTCAAGGCAACAGTTAAGTCTTAGAACTGTTAAAAAATCTGATTTTTTTTCATTTATAAGAAAGATCTGTCTATGTAATTGAAGAACGTCTGAACAATTAAAACCTTTTTGGGTTAATGTATTATTTCTGGAACAGTAGATAAAATTCTATGCAGTAAGCATGATATAATGATAAAAATCGTGCATTGTTCGCACAGGACAGATTTCAGAGTCAAGGTTTTTGGGCACAAATGCAGTAACAAAACAGCCCCTACAAAACCGAGTAACTTTCAAGAACACAAGAAATAATGTTTGTTAATTTAAAATTTTAGAAACTGAAAGGTGTAACGTTTGTAAAGTAAAGCATAATTAAATTATGGTACTGTACATACCAGTTGTTCCTAGGATTGAAACTTTATAATATGAAAAAATACATTAGCGCTGTACAATTTTTACATGTAGGTAGGATGAGTTTTGGAAAAAATGATTTTTTTTTCAGGGACATTCTTCGTCAAAGTCAAAAAAATACTGCACAACTTAGCTAGTTACAAAGTATAGACTTGAAACATTTCATGTCTTCATTTATTTCATGAACCAATCTTGGAATTTTGTTTATTTGAACAGGGGATTTTTGTTTTTGTTTTGTTTTGTTTTTGAGAGTTGCAATGAACAATTTTTCCTCTCTGTCGTTGAGGTTACAGTTCGGTAGCAAGCCTGGGCTACCGCTCAGCTCGGTCAAGCCAGCTGTGGTTTATGGTCACTGATGCGGCCAGCTGACGTGATTGTGCTCAGGTCCAGCTCAGTCTCTAGGTGGCTTTCCATCGTGTCTTCCTGTGCATTCGTTTCAAAGGGCTTATGAGAGAGAAGTTCATGATGAACCCCACAGTAACTTATTGTGGGCTGGTCGTATGCCAGAAAGGTTGACACATTCATTGATAAAGGTATCTGGGAAAAAAACATGAGAAAAGTCAGTTATCAAAGGACAGGCAAGTATCCAGGACAAGACTTGGAGACTATGAAGTGTGGATTCAACTATCTTTTGTGTTTGTATCTGTGGCTCTGCTGTCCCCACAGTGTCCTGCTCTTGTCCTCTATTTTCACACAATGAATTCACTATCAAAGTTTGAAAGCCTGAGTGGAGCAGTTTGAATCTTAATTAGAACTGGCAGATAAACAGTAGTCTAAATAGTTCTAAAAAGGATAAAATATTTCTCTACTCTAAAGCTGAGAAAATGGCTTTCTCTAACTGGTCTGAAATGTGTATTTGAACTAAGAAAATTATTTTTTGGTTACTCATGGGAAAAAAGTGATTCTATAACCTCGTCATGAATTAACATCACTTTCTACTTCTTCAACAACCTGCCCCATTGTCCTACAGTTTTCTGATGTAGGGGGTTCTGATTTCTTACCAGTTCCCAGGTAATGAGGATACAGTTACTTCACATGCCTTGCTTTGAGGAGTGTTTCAGAAGAGAATTGTCTTGTCATCCTGACTATGCTTACCCGTAATCCCTTAATTCTAATTTCATTAAGATTATTCCTTGAAGCCGGGCGTTGGTGGCGCATGCGTTTAATCCTAGCACTCGGGAGGCAGAGGCAGGCGGATCTCTGTGAGTTCGAGGCCAGCCTGGTCTACAAAGTGAGTTCCAGGACAGCCTCCAAAGCTACAGAGAAACCCTGTCTCGAAAAAAAACAAAAAGATTATTCCTTGAAATGTTAAGCTCTGTAGGTTGGTCTTTCTATCTAAAAGCATAGAGAACAACCGGAAGAAAAGATGTACGACTTCTGTAGAGGTCTATCAATATGCAAAGAATAAACCTACTTTGAAGGACTAGTGTTCCAGCAGGGGGAATGGCTTCTTTACTAATAAAAAAAGGCAAAAGCTAACACGTGAGTGCAACAGAAGCAAATACAATGACTATGGACAGAAGGAACACAGGGTAGAGACGACAGTGGTCTTAGCTACAACCAGATGCCAAACTCTAGAGAATGTTTTTTGCTTAGTTTTTTGATGAGACAAAATATTGTGGAAGCATTGAGGAACCTTTAGCCTTGATCTTACTTTGTCTGCTATGGTATATACACTATTTAAGGGTCCTCCAAAGCTTCATGTATTGAAGATATTACTGGGAGAGGAATTAGAGTACACTTCCAAATATCAAGTTCTGTGACTTTACATAGGAAGAGACAGAGAAGCAGCAGAGGTAGCCTTAGAAGGGATACACACAGTCCCTGACTCTTACCATGTGAAGTCTGTACTTGGCCATCAAGAAGGTCATCACCACATGAAGCCTCGGGACTTTTCACCTCTAGAAACTTTAACCCAAATAAACCACCTTTATTTGTAACTCAATCAGTTCCCAGTATTGTGTTATTGGCTCAGAAAACCACTATAATTACTCATTCACTTTGCTGAATTTCTTTGAATGAAAACTTGTACCATTCTTAGTTTGGCAAATGAATAAAATGTTTATGCACATCAGACTAAATACTGCTCTAATCTCAGCTGAGATTAGAACACAAAGCCAAGGGTGATAGAATGTCTAGTCTTTATTACCCACTTCTTTATTTCTGCCCTCATCTTTCCAGGGGCAAAACTCCCTCCATCTCCTCTTTCTCCATCCTGACGTCTTACCCACATTTCACTCTCCTTTAGTAAAAAAGTATTTTCTTTATTTCCTCTTTCACTGCAGACATTCTTTTCTTTGAGATCATTTATGATGAGTATTTAAATATATCAAATGCCTAGGTCTCAGTCCATGGAGATAAAAGTATAATCCAGTTCACCCAATGGAATGCCTGTGCAATGTTTCCTAGCTTTATGGAATTCTGAAATTTGAAACATCAAATTATGTGGCATATGAATCAAAGACAAACAATCATCCATTAGAAGGTCACACAGAAGATACATAGCAGTAAAATAAGATACTTGTACTTAAAACCAGACTTCCTTTGTTATAGATGAGTTATCTCTGGTAACCAAAATGCTATGGTGTAAAAATAATTATCCAGCAAGAATTTATTTAAGCTTTAGGAGAGAAAAACTAAGAACCATTATTGGGTGTACAGGTTCATATCAACTTCTGGGAAATCAGTCCTAGATGATGTGCTATAGTTACATGCCTGCAGGATTATAGCTGTTTTTATTTGCCATAGACATGTACATACTTTGCATTTGTTTGGGATACCTCCTGGTTTGCATGAAATCAAGTTTTCTGTGAAGAATTTGGAAAGCCCATGGTTAAATTTTGACAAGCCAGTGTATACTTATTCTCTCTGTTTTTTTTTGTACACACACATTTTCCTGCTACATTTACTATCTAGAGGCTGCTGATATCTACAAGGAAAAGTCCTACATTGAATCATAGTGATTAGGTAGCTAACTCTGATTATGTATTTAAAAAATCCCATGTTTTTTCTTGTTGCTGAGTATAGTCAGGACATATTTACAATTAATATTGTGCATGTTTGCATGTGTGGTATTATGCATATATGTGTGTGAAAGTGCATACGGAGTCCAAAATCCTCTTTGGTTGCTCTTCTTCCTTATCCACGGAGTCAGGGTCTCTCAATCAAACCTAGAGCTTGTTGATGAGGCCTTGCTTGTTAGCTTTCTCTGGGGATCTTCTGTCTCTACTTTCCTTTAATCCCTTAGATGATCACTGGTTTTTTTTAAAGTGTTTCTATTTTTTCCTTTATAATATTTTTAAAAAGCCTTATTTACATTTCCATTCCCCCATTCCTTCTGTCTCAGAGGCTGGAATAACAAGTTGGCTACCATGCCCACCTAACATTTATGTAGATGTGGGGGGGTTTAAGTGCTTTATCTATTGAGTCATTTCCTCAGATATTTACTTTAAATGTGATTGCTAAACTGTATCCATGTTTTGCACCTAATCACCTACAATGTGAAAATCATTCTTGCTGATTTCTCATGAATAGTACCACACATATTTTCCATGGATTTCCTTCTTCATGTCAACATCATAGGATGCACTGAACAATTTATTGATGTGTGATACTAGATCCTTATGAATCAAAGTAGAAAAGTCAGGTGCAAATCGTGTAATGTACTACTTATTCTTCAAGTAATAATACTCCACTCAGCACTTCTATATACACTACTGTGAATATTGGGTTTTTACCAGAAAGAGTGACTGCCTTTACCTTTCCATTTTGGGTCAGTTGTCTGGGAATGCAGCAGATGGCCACTTGTGATATTTCCAATGTCACAGTGAAAGAGCATTGATACTCTTCCTACCCTGTCTTGGAAGTAACAGCTTCTTTCAATGCATTTTGACCTTACTTGCAATTACTTCGAGAAATTTCCTTTAATCCCTTAGGTGGTCACTGTTTTCTTTTTTAAGTGTTTCCATTTTTTTTCCTTTTTAATAAAAAAACGTTTATTTACATATCCATCCCCCATTCCCTTGCCCTCCCATCCTCCCATGCTTCCCACCGACCCCCACAACCCACCCACTCTGCACTCCCCAGGGATAGTGAGACCATCCACGGGGAATCATCAAAGTCCATCACATCATTTGTGGGAGAGCCCAGGCCCTCCTTTCTGTATCTGGGTTGCAATAGTATCCCTCCATAGTGAAAGGGCTCCCAAAGTCCATTTGTGACCTAGGAATAAACCCTGGCTCTAAGTGAGTTAATTATTATTAAGAAGTAACTGATGGAGATTCTGGTATATGAAAATTTACTCTCATCAAGAATCTGAATTAAGGAATCATTAAATGCTGTTCTAACAGAGTTCTGCCTGGTTACTTAGGCGATTTCCCTTAGGGAAAAATTTCAAAGCTAGTATTATTTTGATATCAGTGCCATTTGCCTTAGAAGTGGTTTTCCCAGCAACTATATCAAAATCAATAATATGTGCTGTTTATATAAATATTTGTAGTTAAAGTTATCAGTTATTAGTGGTCTTTCCCCCACTCACATATAATATTAATCCTACATTTGTAAAAGAAAACCATAACTTTTGAAGTTTCTGAGTTGTGATCAAGAACTCATTGTAGCCTTATATTCTCTGTGTGAGATCTGCTTATAAAGATATGCATATATAAATATGCATATTGTTATAATTTAAGAAAAGCAGCTAAAAAGAGAAAGAAACCATGTGACAGAGTTCAAGCAGAGGGGTTTTTATTGTGGAAAGGGATCATAAAAAAGGGAAAGGGGAGGGGGAAGACGGGTTTCTGGGTATAGGAACAGCAGAAGAGAGCAAAGAGAGGGGAGAAAGGGAGACAGAGAGAGAGAGAAAGAGAGATGGATGGAAGGTGGGCAGGGACCTTTTAAATGGGAACATAGTGAATACTTACAGGTGGTGCTCTTAGCGGCTGCAGCTGAGGGTGCAAACTGTCATAACACCAAGGGCAGGCCAATACAGATGCTTGAATACACCCACATGTGTTCCTCAAGTTCTAACTAAAAGGCATTCCTGCACATCTCATGTGTTAACAAGTGTTTTTTGAGGCCCCAAATATATGAAGAAAAGAAAGTGGCAGTTCATCATGCAAGAAAATTAAAAGCCTCTTTTCCCTATGCACAGTGAATGATGAGAACTACTTTCCTGATAAGGGTTATTTCTAAGTGGAGTTTTTAGGAAATATATTCTCTAATTATGTTGGAGCAGAATGCCCACACTGTTAGCATAGTTCACAGGGGAATCTCCGAGTTTTACAAAGTTGGATGCTCTCTCTCAGGGACTCTTCCTCTCTAGGTCATTGAAGCTATGGTGCCTGAGGGCTTTGGCCACTATTGTTTATGTACAATGAGGGCAACAGAGACACTTCATGATGGGATCATTTGAGATGCAGCCTTTGTCATTATCTAGTCCGATTATTTTCATTGTATCTTGAATTTCAGGGGCCTATAATCTTACTTTTGTAAGATTATAAAATTCATATTTTAAATTCATAGATTTTTAAACATTGATT